GAGAGAGAGAGAGATATGAGACGGGAAGAGAAGAGAGAGAGGGAGAGAAAAGATCTACCGTCGTGCCTCACATAAAAGGGAAGAGCTCTCCTATCATAGACTGCTCAAAGTTGGAGAGAGAGAAGGGTATAAGAATAAGAACAGCAGCGAATCAACATAGAGAAGAGGGAATGGGGCATCACTCCTGTTGCAACCAACAGAAGGTGAGGAGAGGGCTATGGTCTCCTGAGGAAGACGAGAAGCTCATCAGATATATCACAGCCCATGGCTATTGTTGCTGGAGTGAGGTCCCCATGAAAGCAGGTCTTGTTTCTATTCTCTCTCTCTCTCTCTCTCTCTCTCTCTCTCTCTAAAGTATGTCTGTGCTTGTCATTTGAGATTCTTATGCTTGGATCGTTGTACAGGGCTTCAAAGGTGTGGCAAGAGTTGCCGCTTAAGATGGATCAATTACTTGAGACCCGGCATAAGGCGAGGAAGGATAACGCCGGAGGAGGAGAAGTTAATCATCAGCCTCCACGGGATTGTTGGGAACAGGTTCTCATCTGCCCACGTTCCGAAATCATCATCCGCGTTAAGCTTCTTGAATGCTTGCACTGCCATCACTTTTATCACGAATATGATTACATTTTCTGGTCTCATTTCTTCTTCTCGCTGCCAAATCTACCGCAGATGGGCTCACATAGCAAGCCATTTGCCTGGTCGAACAGACAACGAGATCAAGAACTACTGGAACTCTTGGATCAAGAAGAAGATCCGCAAGCCTACGACACCCCAGCCTACCGCGTCCCCGAGAGTTGAGCTGGTCCACCCATCTCTCAACTCCATGAATCAACTCGATTCTACTGATCTCCATCGAGATTTAACGTCCAAGTCATCGCCGGATCCCATATTTCCTTCTCCTTGGCCTCTTTTCATGTTTGACGATGGAGGCGTCAGTGGCAGACACTCAGCCAGCAGCTGCACGAGGGAGGAACCTCTTCAGGAAGCGACATGTTCCGACATGTACAACGTCCCTAACCACAAGCAAGACGAAGCAGATATGCCTTCCCTCTTCGACTTGGTGAACAGCAGCATGACCTACAACAATTTGCCGCCTTTGGTTGACGACATGGAGAACACTGTCACTGAGGAGGAGGCACAGCCGTGTTGTCTGGGAGACAATGGGGAGGTAAGCGGGGAAAGCTTTGAGAAGAAAGGGCTGGGTGAGTGGCTGGTGCCACAGCAATATTCTTGCTTGCTTTCTTGGGACGATGTCCAGAGTCCCATTGGAGATGAAACTATCATCACAACTTCCTCTAGTATGGCCACCATGGATACAACGTTCCCTTTCCCATGGCAATAAACACACGTCACACACACGAGGGAACATTTTGTGGTTTGGAATTGGATGATCCTTTGATTTGTTTTGTTTGCTTGACATTGTGGATTATAGTAATAATGAGCGATGATCACGCAATATGGAGAACATTTGGAAGGAAGGAATGGAAGAAATGAAACGGGGTGGTGACCTCAATCCTCGGGTGTTGTGGTTGTGAGATTGTGATGCTAACTTCTCACCTTCGTGTACTTCTTTCCTGACGGAGCGATGGCGTCGTGTCGACTGCAGGCGTGAACAGAAGAAGCATTTTGTCGACTGCCGGCCACCTCATACTGCATCCATAAATCCATATATTCTTTCCCGCGTTACAAGTGACGCAACAGATATCCCTTTTGGCCTTCCGCCAGCTTTGCTCTGTTTCGACTGTCCTCGTGGATGCCCAACCTTATGTTCTTCGACGATGCCTCCTTTGTTCTCTGCAATTTCATCAAACATCTTTGACAATTGACATCGCATGCATCCATTATTTTACAGAAATCACACACATATCCGCATACGATTTTGTTAAGCATATAAGTAGAGCCCCGTACTTGTCGATTATTCTATCTAATGTTTGAGAGAGAGGATGGATACATGCAATTCTGAAATGCTTCTGCATCACTTGTGAATACAGCAACTGCAATCGACGGATTGCGATCAACAAGAGCTTGATCCTGTTAATATATGTTAGAACAGATCATCCATCCATTTTGGACTCCTCTCCTTCATCCACAACGATCCTCCTCCAAAACGGATGCTCCCTCCACACTCTGCCCATCTGCTCCATGGGTATGTTCCTGGTCTCTGGCAACAGCATGTGTATGAACATGGTCATGATGACCAGCCATCCCGCAAAGAAGAAGAAGATCCCGGACTTCATGTGGCACAGCATGGCCAGGAAGGTCTGAGCTATGATGAAGGTGAAGATGAAACTGACGGCCACTGTAATGCTCTGCCCTGCAGACCGTATCTCCAGTGGGAAGATCTCACTGGGGACCAACCAGCCCAGCGGCCCCCATGACCACCCAAAACCCGCGACGTACACACATATCAACAGCAGGACGAGGTAGGCGTATCCTCTGCTCACCCCACCGTGGTCGCCGAGCTGGGTCGCCAGTATTCCCGCAATTATCACCTGCGAAATCAACATTTGGATCCCCCCGATCAGGAACAGTCGACGCCGGCCGAGTCTGTCCACCACGATCATCGATATGAGCGTGGAGGAGATGCCGACCGCTCCCCCGACGACGGCCGAGATCAAGGACGCGTTCTGGCCCAGGCCGATGGTCCGGAACAGCACCGGCTGGTAGAACGCGATGGCGTTGATGCCGGTCACCTGTTGGAAGAAGGGGATGGCGATGGCCATCACCAGCTGGGGACGGTAATTTCGTCGAACGATGGTTCGGAGCGGCCGGCGAACGATCCGGGACGCGTTGCTGGCCGCGACGAGATCCTCCAACTCCTGGTCGACGTCGGTGGTGCCTCGAATCTTTTGGAGCAGCTGCTTGGCGTCGTGGACGTCGCCGCCCTGTTGAATGAGGCTGTTCGGAGTCTCGGGAAGGAAGAAGGTTCCGAGTGTCAGCAACAAAGCTGGAACTGCTGCTAAAGCCAGGGAGACTCGCCAGCCCCACCCGCCCTTAATGTTCGCGGTGCCATAGTTGATGATGTTCGCAATGAGAGCTCCGATTCCAATGCTGAACTGGAAGCCATTGTTGAACGCCCCTCGATACTGAGGCGGAGCCATCTCCGAGAGGTACAACGGAACGGACTGCATCATGATCAACAAGTCAGATACCGCCAGCGCAGTGTTCGACGCTGTAACACAAAAGACACACACGCGCTCTCTCTCTCTCTCTCTCTCTCTCTCTTCGTTGCAACCTGTAGACCTTATGTTTCTACGAAATGAAGTCATTCATCGACTTGACTTTTCCGTTTGCTGTCATCACGACGGAACACGTATACGACGATGCGTCCTATAGATGGTGTGATGTCGCTGTTTGACGTATATTTAATCGAAGCCAAACACCTTTTTTGCAATCTTGCAAGCCGCCATTTGGGACCGCTTCAAGCAAATCATTGAAGCGCCGCCAACAGATACTTATCTTTAGGGTACGCTTTGAGTGGACCTCGTTTCAGATCAAACATGGCGCTTCAGAGAACAAAAAGGTTTGGAATTCTTACCTGGTTGGCTAATCCGACGCCTATACCCAGCAAGACGCGGCCGAAGATGACCATGTAGATGTCAGCCGCAGCTCCACCGAGCGCTGCCCCGGCCATGAAAGCGAAACCCCCCGCCAGCATCGTCCGCCTGCGGCCGAACCGCCGCGTCACCCACGAGGCGATGAAGGTGGCGAAGAGCCCGGCGACGTACAGCGACGACGTGAAGGTCGTCAGCAACTGGCTGTTGAACTTGCAGTAGTTGCTTACGGCGGAGTCCCCTCTCATCTTGGCGTACACGTCCGGGAAGAACTTCTCCAGAAACGACTCCATGGAGGTCACTCCACCTACAAGTAGAACCGAGTTGAACGAAGAGAAGCTCACCCGTGGCTGGCCGACGAAGGGATTACTTACCTGAGATCCCGATGTCGTAGCCGAAGATGACGCCTCCCATGCCAGCCATGACGCAGGAGATGACCACAAAGGTTGTGACCCTGCCATTGTAGGTGGTTGCCGCTCCGGTAGCAGCCGAGATATGGACGGCCATGGGGGTGGATGGGAGGAGGGGAGGCGTCGCGATAAAGGACTGTATTTTATAGATCTTCGCAGTGTCGAAGAACACTTACAGAACGGAACAAAGAAGAATAGCAGTCGTGATTGACTTTTTGGGTCTCCCTTTTTCTCTCACGTCGCGATGAAACGGGCGCAGGGAAAATTTCTACCTTCTATCCACTCTCATAAAAAGGAAGTAATCTTTTATTGATTGGGCCATGAAAAGAAAACAATTGAAAGAATCCTTGATTACCTTAATTTATATGAAAATATTGCTTACCAATTGAATCATTGATATGATTTCCTCCATTATTTCTATCAGAATTTACTCTTTTGCTTTTCCATCATGTTTGAAAAAAATTTTCATGATTCAATAAATTATCATGAAACATTATATTGCTATACCAGGATTCAATAATTTATACTATAATTAGAAATTATAATAGAATAATCAATACTTGCCGAATTAAAAATTCTGTAGATTTTGCGATATAGGAATGCAAGAATAAAACTTGGATAAATATTCATCGTATTCTATAATCATAAACAATTTAATCATAGGATATTGTTAATATTTTTGACAATTCAGATCCATAAGAAATTTCATGATCAAAACATAAATAAGTGACATTATCCTTATACAATCTAGAGAGTTATATATCATCATATAACCATCAAAACTCTTTATCATATCACAGTCAATACCAATACCAATTTATTTACATAATTACAATATCATCATATTATTACCAAAATAAATAATATTTCATATTAATATTATACAAGTCTAAAATAGGATACATTTTTAAATAATAATATTTCTCTCAAGCCTACGCTACTCTGCTCCTCTGACAAAACGATTTTTAAGAATAAACATTAGCAAACGATAGATAAATAATAATAGTCTTCTAGTAAACATCATAACTAACTCATATACCAGTAAAAACGACTATAAATGCTTATAGATAAATATTTTATAAATATACTTTTATAATCAATTTAGAAAGAAAAAAATATATATAATATCATATCATTTTTATGATTTCTATCAAATACACATAAATGACTTATCAATATTTGATCGATAAAATAAATTTAAACTTTTTAATTGAATTGATATAGACTCAATTCATATGCAAAAAATATTATGATCTAAATCAGCTAAAAATTGTAACCTTTTAAGAAATATCTAAGTTTAGTCGCAAGATGGAAGGAGATTTGAATTGATATTCTATCATTAATTTGTATTAAAATATTTTTTAAGTCAATTATTCAAATTGAACAAATGAATATGTCGATTATTCTATTATTATATGATTTGGGTACTAAAATATTTTGAATTAATGGGTTCCAACTCAACAGATGAATGGATCTTTAATCATCATGATTACATACGTTGGATAAATGAAATATATGGGCCAAAATTTTGAGTTGGCTAACATTGGCTCGGGTCGAGACCGTTCGGCCGAGACATTATTATTTTCTTAGGCATAAATGCATCCCTCCAAACAGAAAAAATTTTGTATTTGGTTTGTTTACCCCAAAATTATACTTGTCACTATTATTTAATCTCTACTAAACATCATAAACAAATTAATTGTTGGTTAAGACTATAATTTCCAGTAATATCTTTTAGAAACTCTCTACGAATAGTGCAAATATATTTAGATAATTTATATTTTAATTTCAGTCATAATTAGAAATGATATTCTGGAGATCTTAGATATATGCCAACGATATTGGCACATTTGGACGATCTAAATAGAATGAATATATATATATATATATATATATATAATATTAAATATTTATAATTTATATGTTTCTTGTCAATGATGAGTACAAGATTCAATCACAGAACATATATAATTGCTGACGTATGGAGCTGTGCAAATTATATGCTCTAAACTACCATTCTCATGTTCGTTTTCTTACAAAAATAAAATAAAAAATGTTGACCATATTATCACTGCAATAAACAACAGCAAAAAAAAAACACACACACACACACTTAAGTCGAAGCTTGTGTCAACTCCCAGTCTCCAAAGACATTCAAATCACATGGACCGTTGATTGGCTTCTTAAATAAGCCTGGCTGTGAAATGGACTACCCATCTCTGTGGTCATGATATAGACTAACATATCTTGCATTAATTTCCCAAGACATATATACGCACATCAATAACACCGAAGTATTAATGTTGCAGGTGAACTCTACAAGATCTAACAACGTTGATGCTTCTTTGACCGATAGATGGAGCAGCAATTAAAAGGCAGCAGCAAGCTTTCCGAAGGAGAGAGAGAGAGAGAGAGAGGTGCGTGGACTATTTTTTGGAGTTGGAGGAGGAATGAGAAGAGGCATGGAGATGGAGAGCGAGGACGTGGAGGAAGAGTTGGAGGAGATGAGCGGTGGGCTGGACACGCCCCGTGGAGCTGCTCCGGAGACGGAGGAAGGCGGCGGCGGGGAAGCGGAGCAGACGAGCGTCTATTACGACGAGGACCAAGGTTTGTATAGCCTCGCCGTCTCTCTTCGCGTCTCTATTCCGTTTTCTATTTTTGGTTCTCGAAACCAAGAAAAATGGGCAATTATGAAATGACGATGATGCCCTGGCGCAGTGAGTATAGAATGCCAAGACAGAAAGCATCGATTTCCTCGAAACCCTCTTCTGTTGTTATTTGTCGCTCGCTCGTTCCCGTTCTTGATCCTCTCCTTGTCCTCATTCTTCCCTGGGAATGGGAATGGTGAGCTTCGAGCGATCATGGGGTTTTCTTCTCTCTTGCTGCTGCATGCAGTCTATCATCTTGCTTTTATCACCTAGATCGGATTTCTTGTTGTGATGGGAGAACGCCACTGGATCTTGGCGGTAGGTTAGTTTCTTGATCTTTGAGACATGACTCTACATGGAAGAATGGCTTGTATATTGTTGTTGCTTCTCTCTTCTTGAACCCTCTGATTTTGATTCTGGCGGCAGGGTTTAACGAGTGTTTTTGGTCCTTTAGATCTCCATGCAAGAGTGGTTTGTGTATGGGTATCATTCCATCATGTCAACCAGATATCGTCTTGCTTCTCTCTTCTTGAATCTTTTGTCCTTGATGCTGCGGCGTCGGATTCATGTTGACGCTTCAGGGATTCGGCAGTCTTCCATTTCAATGTTCGGATGTCAGTCGTCACATCGTGAATCTCTTCGTTAGAAATCCTTTTCGGAATGGTTCTGTGATCAGCATCCGGGGAAGGGCGAGTTGGTTCCCTTGGATCCCTAACGATCTCTGTTTCTTTGTTTCCTCATCTGATGAGATCCTCTGACGCACACGAGCCGATGAATGCAATTTTTTTATAGAGAGGTTTGCTAGATTGCGATCTGATCCCGAAGAGGAGATATGAATATTTATTATAAATCTTGCCATCTTATTTAACTTCTTTTGCTTTATCTTAATGGTCTTTACATTAATTGTGTGATAATTGTTCTCAGCCATTGATGTGACTATTAGGTTATTTTCTTGTGCATCCGACATGACTAATAGGAAGTTGCTTTGCTTGATAATCTCTTATGGAGATATATGCATTCTACCATCTACAATTAGTGTCTAATTAACCACCAATCAGTTATGCCATGGTTTTTCAAGTATGTATATTTCTTTTATACAACTTCATTCACATTTTAGCATGCAGTTTATAAATGCATCTGAGCTCTACTTTGAACAAATTAAAGTACGGAATTTCTTAGTTCAGACATTACCAACTATTTCATTATGGCATTAGGTTCTTTGCCTTTGTTTTGTCGTGTCTAGTCTAACAATATCATTATGGCATTAGGTTCTTTGCCTTTGTTTTGTCATGTCTAGTCTAACAATATCAATCGGGTGGCTTGTGCAAAAAGTCCTGATTGCACAATCAACTAACCTCTTTAAGATGTTGAAATTAGATATCCTTCAATAAAATCAAGGTACTGAAATTAAATGAATTTGAGATTGAATGACTTGGTGTTGAATTTGTTGTTCACGGTACCATATAATCAAGATTTTCAATTTCGAATGATACCGTCGGCAGTACACGGACCGCTCGCTACTGGGCGGTACCGTCAATTGAGGTTGTTTCCGCCCCGTCACCATGCTAAATCGATCGGTGAGAGTCGATTTTGATTGTCGTCGCCCGCTACGGGGCGGTATTAGTCGAGGGAGAAGGAAGAAGAGGGAGAAGAAAAGGGAGAACTTGGAGATCCGGGGTCGCTCTCCCTCAACGATCTCGATCCGTCGCTGCCCTCTCTTGTCGGACGTCGTAGATGAGATGTCGTCTACTTCTCGTCTGAGGTGACGAGGCCTCGGCATCGTCCGCGACTTCTCATCCGCGCGGGGAGAAGAAGCCTCGGCAACGACGTCACCGAGGCTTCGCTGGGAGAAGAAACGAGGCGACGTGGCCCTTATTATTATTATTATTATTATTATTATTATTATTATATATATATATATATATATATATATATATATATATATATATATATATATACACACACACACGCCAGAGCGTACTGCTCAGTATACTCGTACCATATCGTATCAAGCTGATCTTGATACTCCGGTATGATACGAAATTGCAAACCTTACATATAATATCATTGTAGAGAACCTTATTCGCAAAGAATGAGATGTTCGTAAGTTATGGGAGTCAGAAGAAATTATTTAGAATTTTGCTTTCATTAAAAAAAAAATGCATAACTACATGTAGTATTGTGATCAATTTTACAAACAACCACTAGGCTTAAAATATAAGAAATAGAGTGTGAAACCAGTGATTTAAAAAGCGCTAGATGCCAAGATCAAAAAACACCCGAGGCGCTAGGCGCTCGCCCGAGCGAAGCGAGGCGCTAAAATATAAAAATATAAAATATAATTATTTAAAATTTTAAATAAAAATATGCTATTAAATTAAAAAAATCATAATGTCACATTAACAAAAAATTTCAAAATTCAAAACAATAAAATTTTACATCAAAGTCATTCATCATAATTAATATTATCATCATTTTCACACAAATCATCTTCATTGAATTCGTCTTCTTCCTCTTGTCCTTCGACTCTTTCCTCTTCATCAAGATATGTTTCATTCTTTATGTCTTCAACAATAGCAGGAGCCGAGCTTGATGCTTTTGCACTCATTTTTCTCTTTGTCATCTGTCTTGTATATGTTTGTAATTCTTCAGCACCTGAAGCTCTTGTTACATCTCCCCATGTCAATCTATCATATTCAAATACAAGCTCGTCTTCGGCATCTTACAAGTTAGTACCCATTTCTCCTACTAACTACTCATTTGAATCATCAATATCTTGTAATGAGATTGAATCAAATCTATTTTGCAAATAATAACGAGCTTTCAAAGCTTGATTATACTTTATGTAAACAAGATCGTGCAATCGTTGATGTTCCAATCGATTTCTTCTCTTCGAGTGAATCTGTCATGTCATATAATTTAAAAATATATTAATACATCTATCTAAATAAATAAATAAATTAAAACAAAAATATTTAGTGATCCTTACATGCTCAAAGACACTCCAGTTTCGCTCACAACCCGAAGCACTACATGTCAAACTAAGTACTTTGATAGCAAATTGCTGTAAGTTCGGGGTGGAATTTCCAAATAGGCTCCACCATTCAACTGCAAAATTTATGTTATTATTAGCAATAACATAGTAACATAATATATATGAAATTAATTATATCAAATTATTAATACCTGGAGACGTAGTTGTCCTGGATCGAACGACAATTGGAATTCCAAAAATACCTTCGGCATTTTTATATAAAGATAATTCATGAATAATCTTATCTTGAACCTCAAGGCTGGGAACTAATCTTGCAACGCACTGATATAACCCATCCAAAACTTATGCATCAAACCTAACAGATTTAATCTTATAAAAGAATTCAGGATTCAAATAATATCCTGCTGCATGTAAGGGACGATGAAGTTGACAATTCCATCTTTCGCCAATGAATGTAAAAATTTTCTCATATTTTTTTTTATTTTCATTAAAATATCTTTTAATCGTCTCTTTTGTTCTATCCATAACCTCATAAATATATCTCATTGCAGACTTATTTTCATTATCCATCAACCGAAGGACTTGAACAAGAGGGCCCATTACCTTTAATATATAAACTACATGATTCCAAAAGGATGACATTAAGATGATATTAGCAGCCCTCTTGCCTTTTGCTTCTTTTGTTTATTTGCTTGTCACCCATTTCTTAGAGGTAAACATGTTTCTCAGATTATGTTTTTGACGATGCATGCTCTATAATGTCAAGAATGAAGTTGCAAATCGGGTGATACCATATCTCACTAATTCTTTGTTCCCTATAAATTCTCTCATCATATTCAAAGCTCCAATATGATTATAAAGAAATCCAACAATAAAAATTACCCTTTCTAAGGTTTTCTTGATGTCTAAGATCTTTCTAATATCCTCCAACATTAAATCAATACAATGTGCTGCACATGAAGTCCAATACAAGTGTTGTCTTTTTGTTTCAAGCAATTTACATGAGACAAAGGATAACAAAAATGATAAGACTTAAGAGTTTAACACATTTAATTGAAGATAAAATAATTAACAAATTCAAAAGATGAATATTACCAACTAATACATAGTTGCTTCTATTGTCGGTTATGATTTGAACGACATTTTGTTCTCCAATTTCTTCCACGAAGTTGTCAAGTAAATCATATACCTTGTCTCCAAATTTTACAAAAGATGAAGTATCTATTGACTTCACAAACATAGTCCCTAAAGAACAATTAACCATAAAATTAATTATACTCCTGCGCCTCCTGTCAGTCCAAACATCTGACATAATAGAGCAACCATGTGTTGCTCGTAATTCTTTATGACCCTTTAGCAAGTCATTTGTATAAGTCAACTCATTTTACAATAATGGAACTCGCATCTCATAATAACTTGGAGGTTTTAATCCTGCACCATATCTTCCAATAGCTTCAATCATATCCTTAAAACTGTCTAAACGAGTTGTACTAAGGGGAAGATCAGCCTGATAGAAGAAGCGAGCAATGTGCTGAATTGTTCTTCCTCTTATTTCTTTATCACAAGCATCACATATATTTTTTTGTCTAAATTTTGAGCCTCCTGCTTGCCCTTGTTGTTTCTAGGATCCTTGAAACATATATAGATCCATCGGTCCTTTTTTACCCTTCTTAGTACTCATAATTTTTTTTCCTTTTTTGTCATATACTTTTTTTCCACTTGGGTTAATACTCATAGAATAATCTTCTTCTTCATCCCTGAGATGTTCAACATTATCTTCTGGTTCCCGTAAGATTCATTCTTTTGTATCTTCTTTTCATTCATAAAACTTAGCAACTCTTCTTTTACATCAGGTGGACACTTTTTGCAAGCTGTTGCATTCTTGAAATTTCCTACTAGATGTTGTTTTACACGAAAAATACCACCTCTAGTAGTCTTATCGCAGAATATGCAAGTCACTGCATTAGGATCTTTCGGATCCTTCAGATAATTATACTTATATGCAGGATCTTTTTTTGATGCCATTAGAGACTCTATTGAGTTGCTCTGTACACTTGACATTTATCTTGAAACCTAATGATAATTTCAAATAAATAAAAATTAACAGTATTAAAATCAAAATAATATATTATTAATCTATTAACAGTATTGAAAATTAATAATTTCAAATAAACCTAACAATATTAACAGTATACAGAAGGAGAAGAAGGAAGAGTGTAAGGGGGTGCTGAGTCTGCTGATTGAGAAAAGAGGAAGCGACAACGGGAGCGGGAGTGTAAGGAGGCAGCGGCAGCGGGAGCGGGAATGTAAGGAGGCAGCGGGAGTGTAAGGAGGCAGCGGTAGCGGCGGTGGGAGCAGGAGCGGCGACAGCGGTAGCGGTTGCGAGCAGTGGGAGCGGCAGCGGCAAAGAGCAGTGTTAAAGTTGGGCAGCGACAGCAGATATCGGTTTTAGTTGGTTCGATTGAACCAACTAACCACCGGAGACCGAACCAGACCTAAAATCCTGGTTCGGTCACCTGGTTTAACCCAGGCGCTCGCCCGAAGCGCCCAGCACCTGGGCTCGGGCGAGCGCCCAGGCGGTGCCTCTTTGAAGCGCGCCGCCTGGAAGTTTAGCGAGGCGCTCGAGCCTCGCCTCGCCTCGCCTCGCCTCGCCTCGCCCGAGAGCCTTTTTAAATCACTGTGTGAAACATACAATTGCTCGCTTTTCTCTTTTTCATTCTAGAGTAGTTCTCTTTTGGTGATTGAGGAACATATGAGCAAGGATTGAAATTTCGGTTCGTACTGACGTGCCGAGCCCTACTCTATATGGTATATACCAAGGCGTACTGACGGCATGCTGGGGCATACCAACGATACGCCCAAAATCATAAAAAAACCTCTAAAAATAGAAAAAAGTTAGATTAGGGTTTTTAAATTAGAAATAAATATAAATTTAGTATCATTTTAGCAAAACTAATATAAATTAGGGAAGAATAATGTTATATATCTTTTTGAGCTTTGAGGAGTACCTTTATGGTTCGTTCCAGATCATTTTTATGTTAATATTGAGTTATCTACGAGGAAATTATTTAAATTTTATAATTTATTTTTTTATATAACTTAAATTTTAAAATTCAAATGAATTAAGTAATTAATCGATGAATATACCTAGTTCTACCACAAAAAAGAACGGCGAGACTCCACGGGCAGTGGATCGGGGTCCTCGATCCTATGTATTTCTATATCAATATAATATGTTTGTCGGACCCAATCGTAAAATTGATCCCACGACAATGTATTGATATACTGTATGCTTTGTTGAGTTTAGGAGAGTGAAAATGTGAGAATAAGAGAGAGATGCGAGTGAAAAAGAGTTTATGAGAATTTAAGAGATTGAGAGAGTGAAATGAGTTGAAAGAGGACGGAGGAAAGGGTTTAAAATATCTATTCTAAGCTTCAAACGGTTAAATTGACCATTTGAAATAGGGTAGTCTCAGCCATTAATCGTTAACGGTCGAAATCTGAGCGTATCGACCGGTATAGGTCGGTAATGGTCGGATTTCAATCGTTACTGCCTGGTACAGATCCTATATCGCTTGATATTAGGTGAAGTGACCGGTACCGTCCGGTAGACGACAATCTGCGTATCAGTATCTTATCGGACCGGTAGATATCGCCCGTATCGGGCGGTACGCATCGGTACAACAAACCTTGCATATGGGTACTTTTCTATTTCTTTGGCTGAAGGAGTATGGAAGTGTCTCACTGCACTTGGACCTTCCCATTAGTTGGTCCTGATAGACATCATATTTAGAATCATGAAGGTAGCTATCAAGTGATGATGGATGTCAAATCACTAAGACTGCTTGAATCATTTTGTCTCATTGAATAAAGGTACATTAATTTTCTATTATATGAATTTAGTGCAAGGAGATAATACTATGTCCATGATCTTCTTAAGTCTAAGAGAAGCAGATAAAGGCAGTCTGTGTCTATCATAAGGCAAAATGTTGAATATCATAAGACAAAAAGTTGAATATTCATCATTTTGATGCTCATTAATGCCAAAAGAAACTTCTCATCATTGTTTTTTTCCTACTTACTAGAAACCAGAATTTTCATCTTGTGAATCTTTATATTGTTATTTATTTTAAGGATCATAATCTCGTACCAAGGTACTATACTGGTCCCCGATTGGACCAATACATACCACATACCAACCAGTATTGGGTGCCGATATATGGTACACCGGCATGTATTAGAGACTCAAAGAGGAATAAGAAGAAGAAGAGGAAGGAAGAGATGGCTGTGGAGGAAGAGGAGGAAGAAGGAAGAGGTAGGAGGAGGAAAAGGAAGGAAGAAGAGGAGGTGGTGGAGGAAGAGGAGGCAGTGGAGAAACAAGAGGAGGAGGAAAGAGGAAGAGGAAGAAAGAGGAGGAAGTGGAGGCGATGAACGAAGATGAAGAAGAGGGTGATGGAGGAACAAGAAGAAGATGAAGGAGGTAGAAGAGAAAGAAGAAGAGGTGATGGAGGAAGAGGAGGAAGCATATCCAAGGTTGATGTTGGTGGCCGGCTGGGAGGTAGTGGCAGCGGATGGCAGGAGGATGACGATGGTGGCTCATGGAGCTCCGCATGTATGGAGAAGAGAATGCAAGCTCTAATTCAAGTTTTAAGTTCTTTTTTTCTTCATTAATAGACCGAAATGGATTGCCCAAAATAGGGGTGGTCTGTGTCTGTATGGGCTCCAACTGGTATATATCGGTCGGTGCGAGCTGAACCAGCCAAAACTGCAGTCCTTGATTTATGATCTTATAGCTACTGTTACTTGTAACATCAATATTAACAAATTTAGTGTACAATATATGGCAGCCCATGCTGCAGTCACAGTTGAAATTGGTGGAATGAAGCCCCAAACAGGATGATCAGATTGCTAATTCTCAAGAAGTTGCCAATGGAAGATCAGATTTTAAATCTCATTTGATAAATGATCAAAAGGACCTTGAAAAAGCAAATTATGTCTTAATAGATACAAAGATGGAATATGGGTCAAATTCACAATGTTATTATGAAAACATGGCGAATGACTGAAAGCAAAGATGAAATAGCAGTGCATGAACATATTATGGTACAAAAATTAGTAAACTGAAAGTGACAGAGTTTGATCATGAGAGGATATTAGAGGAACAAGATACACATGATTTGTACTGTCCTAGGTGTAACTCATGCATCACAAAAGGAAATGGTCAGTTAGAGGAATTCAACATGATGTGCCATCAAAGAAAGTGCATTAACAACTATATGGTGCTTTGGATACTGAATTTGTTTCAGGTTGACAAATTTAACTGATCCACCAGAACCAGATGTATTCATGTGTTTATCACGTGTCAGCTTTTTCAGTCCAACAGGTTTGCACCTGTTAATTCTGCCTCTGTATGTATCTAACAAAGTGTATAAAAATCAGATGTTCTTAGGATAGATAGCCTGTAGTGGCCTTTTGCTTTGTGATGGTGATAAATTACCACTCCTGTAATATACAGATATTCTACGATGTTCTTACATTTTTGGGCACAATCCTCACATTGTGGCTCATACTAAGTCAGTTTTGCACTGGCAAGGGTCATGATGCAGCAAGGAAAATCATGGTTTTAAGTTTTAACTTTTAAGTACTATGCATGCTTTTAACTTAATAGCTTCAACCTTGAATTGATGGGAAATGGATATAATGGTTGCTCTCTTTGTATTCTGAACAGAGGGTGGTTTTAACATATTTCACATATTTGAGAAAGGAAAGGATACTCATGTGCAAAGTTCAGAGCAAGTGCCCGAGAAGAAGATAAATTGGATTTCTTCTATTTTTAAAGTGGATAGAAGCAAAACGAAAGAAAGCGAACCAGGTGTGTTTCTATTGCATCTTTTTGTGATTTATGGAGCGAACACTTGGTCTAAATTCATCCTAATAACTTAGATCTATCATGCTAAGTAATTAACTTGTTGCATTGGTAAAACATGTGACTGGCAATTAGTGTAAATCCCACAAAATAAATGAATTATTAGTCTCAAAGATAATTAAGATCTTGTCTTGAGTTGTTTGGTTGCCTCCATTTAAATTTACCTTTTGTGTTATGTGTCAGATGGAAATTGAGATGCCATTTAATTTGGTCATGTTATTAAATGAACAAACTTCTTTCATTCTGGCTACATATTCTTGATGAATTTCTGAGTTGGGTTTAGATCTCTCATTAGTTCTGAAACATGGATATGGTTTGCCTAATTACCTTCAACTACTTCTGATGGTCCCAAAAGATATTTCTTGTTCTTGCAAATTCTAATTTTGTAATTCCCTTTTGGTCAATTGATCTGACTCTGTGGATAGCTTTCACAGTTTTGTCTCTTTAAGATTATATTATTTTCCTGTATTAGTTAGTTACTGTTCTTTAGTCAATTGTTATGAAGCTAGGATTTGATGTTCTTTCATCATATATTCGTTTACTGTAAATTTGTTGATAAAAAAACACAACTGGGGATGTGGACATTACTCATCATACCCATTATTGATGAAAGCTGGAGTGAATCTTATGCCATTCTAAGGTTGTTAGGAGCTTTAAAGCCCAGTGAATCTTTTACCACCGTTAGAAGAGTCGATGACTTCATACAAAGGAGAAGAAAGAATCACCTCCCATAACTCTGCATAGCAAGGTTCGTAATACCGTACCGTACCGGTATTTCGATCCGGACTCGGTACCGGTACGGTACGGTATACCGAGCGGTATACCCAGGTGTGCCGAGTACTGTAGCAGCACTACAGTGCTACAGTGCACTCGGACCGGTAACAGACGGTCCGCGTACCGACAACCTGTCGGACTGGTACGTACCGCCCGTACCGGGTGATATGGTTCGGTACGGCAGACCCTGCTGCATAGTGCTTTGAAGTTTTTAAAGTCTCAAATCATTTCTCAAAAGAATGATAGGTTTGTTATTCTAAAGTGAACTAAGAAATTAATATTGGAATATAACTAGGTTGGTCTATAGTCATTACTATTAATTTTATATGCAGCCTTATATGGGAATTGGGAAAGATCAACTTATGTGGCCTTATCTCCTTAAGTAGTGGGGCTGTAGGGATAACTAATTTAATAAAACAAAAGCATAACATGGATATGGAAATTAAATAAATGTGTCATTTTTTCTAGTATTACATATATGGAGATAAAATTTGAACAATTTATACAATATATGATCATCATATGTGCAATTCATGAGATGCATAATAATCATTTGCATGAGCAACATACTAACAGTATTAAAAAAAATGCTTTCCCTGAACAATATTCATAGAAACACTTCAATCACTTATATGAAACATTAAGGATAATATTCTTATTGTCAATACTCGGTTCACATATATGTATGTACATATACATATGTATATATATATGTATATATACATACATATAAACATGGTTCGCATTACCGGTTTGTATCGGTATACTGATCGGTTGTTAGTATGGTACATATCGAGCATATCGACACATGGTATACTAGGGTGTACTAATATACTGCCTATGCCGGTCCTCTATTGGACCAGTATGTACCACTCGTATCAAGCGGTATGCTTCGGTACATCAAACTTTGCTCACAATAAAGCTTATTAATTTATCTATATCCATTTATAGTTCTTTTTACATGAGTTTTTGAATTAGAGGTTGAATAACAAATTAATTTTAAAGGTCCATAATACTATCAGAGATGGATTTACAGACCTCCAGTATTACCAGTCTGACTAAGGACCAATTCTGGACCTTATAGATCAATACCGATAAGTATTTATTTATTTATTTGTTAATAAAAACTTTATATTCTTTTAGACTTGGTAATTCTGAAACCTTTAATTGTTTCACTAGCAAGTCTAGCTGCATATTGATGATTATTGCAGTAATTTGTACAACTCTAGGCAACAATCTAAATTACTGATCACAACATCTTGGTCGATATAGCAGAAAGAACATTTCAAAATTTTGATTTATCTATGAATACATCATCAACATAAGTAGGTTCATCATAGAAAACGAATGAAGATAGCTGATATAGTAGTACACACACCCTAACAGAACACTGTCAACGATAAATATCAAGATCACCAAGGGGACAGAAAAGAACATGACCAGCTGCGATTGTACCAAAAAAAAGGAAGATTTGGTACTTCTCAAATTACAATTATTAATAATGATCAAATTGCAATGTTAAAACCATATCTTGGATAATAGGTAAGATAGTATTTTATTCATGACTCATTCCAATTTCTAAGGTGAGAATTTGAGCTAAGGGAAATTTGGATCTCAATGCCGAAGGACCATTCCTAGAAAAGGCAGGAAGTACCATATCATTCCTTACAGTATTGATAACTTATAGTATTGAAACCTTTACAATGCAGCATAAGAAAAACATATAAATCAATACAAAGGCAGATCCACTTAAATGAGTATGCTGTCTGTACAGTTTGAGTAAATAGAAAAGACATAGATTGCATATTATACATGAAATCATGATATTTCTATAAAAAAAGCTCATAACAGCCTAACTTGCGTAACTTGCGTGCATTAGGTAACTGCAAGAAGGAACTTTACTGAAATTATAAACCAGCCTCAATTGTTTCCACACATTTCCATAAATATGATGATTCTCTATGTTTAGGACCCAAAAAATGACCCATATAATTAATAATAGTTGCTATAACATTTTACAATAAGCAGGGAAGGCAGAACAAATGTCCAGGTAAAAAAAAAGTATAGTGAATAGACAAGAGCGATTTCCCTGGAAAACAAAGTTTTGGATATCGGTTTGTACCAACGGTACACCTTAAAATCTTAAAAATATTTTCATCTATCATGCCAAGGCATATTGATCGGTACACCTCAGTAACGATCGAAATCCAGGGTGGTACCGGTCTATACGTCTTGGTACCGATATCCTCTTGGACTGGTATGTACTACCCGTACTAGGCAGTACACATCGAAATTGAGAACCCTGCACATATATATTTATATATATTTATATATATATATATATGTATACATATACATATATGTATATAGTTTCTAGTGTAGATATGTTTTTTTAATACATGTTTTGTAATGTCTTAAATGCCTGTCATTGTGCTAGGAAGTGTCCAATGAATATCAATATCTTACATGGATATGTCATGGATACAACAAGAATCAAGAATCTTTTAGTTTTTATGTTTCCTAGTACTTTTTCGTATGAAATTACTGTTGAATTTATATGTTTTGAATTATGTTGCACCTGCATGGTTTCCAGCGAGCTAAGAATTCACCCAGAAACTTCCATGGACATTATCAATTCATGTTGCCTTTGTTAAATAGAGAACCACTTATTCTGTTTGTATTAAATCAACTTATAAAAGGAGAAAATGATGCCTACAAGTAATTAATTTTTTGAATACTTATAATCAGCACTAATGTCATCACTTATATATGCACTGAATAATATTAGAAAAAAAGACAATTTCACTAGTTGCCTGCTAGTGTGTCTTGCATGTTATTACATCACAACAATCTTTCACTAGTGGCAACCAACAGTTTGCAGCTTCTTCCATATCCCTGCCAATATTATATATCTTCCTAAATGGCTCTATAATCAGTTAAATGTGAAAGATTATGACTTAAAGTAAGTGTCTATATGCATTTCTTTGTATACACAGGAGGCCCAACCACTGTCGAAGGAAAACAAATCAGGGAAACATCATCCTCACTGGGAAGTGCAGAAACTTGAGACTAGTGCAACTCTCCTAGAAAAATAACCATTCAGATCTTGTATATAAACAAATTCAGTGCTGCTTGGTATGAATATATGGAAAATATTATAAAACAAATCCAGTGATGCTTCACATATGAAAATATAGAAAATATTATATATATCTTTAAGTGTGTAAAAACATTGTTTGTACTTTGTAATCTTCAATATCTTATTGATCCTGATTACTTACAATAGTTATTTTGAGTGGGAATTCATAAAATAATGATTTCCAGATAAACAAGCAAAACATTGGTACAACTGTACCAGGAAGAAAACTTGACAATCATGGAATTGCCACTGCAGTAATTGATGCAGATATGATATTGTACTCCAAAGAGATTTAGGCATAAAAAAAGGGGTACATGGACTTATAGCTGTTGACATGCTTCAAGACATTTTATTTATATGATATCAAGCAACAAGCTTAGAGTATAACTGCGGCTTCAATTCTTGTAATCGTGTAACTGCAACCTTCAATTTTTGTAGTCAGTCATAAAAGCTGAGCCTTCACTGAGTAATATGGTAGAATGGTAAAAAATTATATATGGTAGAATATTATAAAATATGAATATTTGAGCTTTGCAAATAATTCAATCTATAAACTACATCTTGCATCTTCAGTTATTGAGATTCACAAATTAATGCCTGACGATTCATATCTCTTGATGACATTGTAAAAAGAAAAGCTTATTATCTTGCCATCTTTAACTTAGCATGCATTTCCTGTTCTCCTGATTGATGTTTAAGGCGATATCTCATCTGGTTAACATTTGTTTTTCTATATGTCACATTTATGATTTTTTATTCATTTTTTAAATAAAAGTGAAGTACTAAACTCAACTTAATTGTCAGGGACTTGTAGAGTTGTCCTCTCTAATTTTTTACGGATCCAATTTGTATAGACTATTTTTCCAATTTTCCAGCCATTATCTCATCTTAACGATTCATTTCTATTAGCCCTTAGATGTGACAGGATGGATGGAGCCCATCCTGCCATGTGGGGCATACCCATGAATGGCTGAAGGGTGAATGGATAGCTGTGTTGGGGATGAACTGCACCATACCAACTGGAAAGGATCCTAATTCTGCATTTGTAATTCTAATTGTTTTTTAGGGTTTTACTCGTGCACTTATATAAGGATGTGAAATATCTAAACACGGATGGATGATGTGATTAAAATGCCTTAAGTCCATTTTTTGTTAGTTAGAAGACTGTGATGCATCTCTTTGGCTCTTTGCTTCTGCACCTATTCTTTAGTCCATAATAATATTTTCTTGTCTATTATAATTGGGTTCTATGACTATATTGAAACATGTGGAATTGTAAATTTAGGAGCTCATCGTTGAAAAATGTTTGGAGTTTCTCAAATTTGTTGTAATTGATGGAAATTTGCTGAGCTAGTCATGGTCAATACTCACATCTTTGTTTTCTGTTTGTTTTGGTAGATTTCTCAGTAACTTAAAATGTAGTTAGTAACACAGTGTATTTCTTCTTAATATTCTTTTTACCTGTTCATCTTTGTGCTATGCATTACCTTATATTTTCTCATGACCAGCAAATAATTGACATTTATGTCAACTTAAGTAATTAGCAATAAAATTTTATCTTCCTATGCATAACCTTTGCTTGCTTCTTCAGCAGTTGTAGAAATATTTTGTCACTTATGTGCATATGATGATTTTATCCAAGTATCTGAACTTGTCCGTGTACTTTTCTTCAGCTGGATAACTTATTTGACCACAATCATATTTAATTTGTATATGATGCAAATTTGTTATCCAAAATGCTAATATTTTGAATGATTCTAGATAAGATGTTTAGTGGACCGTCTAGTGTTAGTTTCAAAGAACAGATGGAGGATCGATCCAAACTACATGATCCTGCCACTCAGATCACATCCACTTCAGGAGCTATGGTTCAGACCAAAAAGTGAATTTATGTTGGAGTAAAAGATGTCAGAATAAGGGATCAGTGATTTAAAAAGCTCTAGGCACCAAAAGGTGCTAAGGTCCAAAAACGCCCGAGGCGCTAGGCGCTCGCCTGAGCGAAGTGAGGCGCTAAAATATAAAAATATATAATATAATTAATAAATATAATTATTTAAATTTTTAAATAAAAATATGCTATTAAATTAATCTAATAAATACAAATACTATTGCTAGTATACAGTATACCGTTAACAATATACTATCGAAAGAGGAGAAGAGTATAAGGGAAGAGTCGGAAGACCGAGGATGTTGACTGAGAAGAGCGAGAGCGGCAGCTGCGAGCGATGATAGTGGCAGCGGCAGCAGCGATAGCGGGAGCGGCAAGCGGTGACAGTGGCACCGGTAGCAGCGAGCAGCGGAAGCGACGAGTGGAGACAGTGGCAACGGTAGCAGCAAGCAACGGCAACAGCAGCGGGAGCGGCGAGCGAAGACCGTGGCAGCAGTAGCAGTGGTAGTGGGAGCGGTAGCGATAGCAACTAGCAGCGGCAACGGTAGCAGCGAGCAGCGGCAGCGAGAGCGGCAACTGCAGCAACGACAGCAGTAGCGTGAACGGCGAGCAGGGTTAGGGTTGGGGAAGTCACGCTGATATTGGGGAAGTCACCATACCTCAAACGTTGGTTCGGTCACCTGGTTTAACCCAGGCACTCGCCCGACGCCTGGGCTCGGGCGAGCGCCCATGCGGCATCTCTTTGAAGCGCGTCGCCTGGAAATGAAGCGAGGCGCTCGGGCCTCGCCTCGCCTCGCCCGAGCACCTTTTTAAATCACTGTAAGGGACGATCCAGGTAAATTTCTTTAATGACCAGAAAATTATGAATGGTAAAAGGATAAATTGTGAAAACAATTATCCAAGTGTAGCTTAAGCTAGCATATACAACACTTATGATGACATACTATTTCATTTATTTTCTTTGGACTTTATCTATCTGAAATTGTCCGATGTGACAGCTTCTCTATGCTTTTGTCTTTGTTCATTCATGAGTTGATGCTACTACTGAAATAACTTCTCAAATTGACCGGATAATTCGAGGTTCAGAAGCAAGTGCTACTGAAGCTTTGGCACATTCAGATGTTCGGATTAATGCGACAGAGCAAACTACCAGAGATTCTGAAATAAGCGATGACAGGTTTAGTGGACCACCTGGTGTTAGCTTTGAAGAACAGATGGATGATCAACCTGAACTACATGATTCTGTCACTCAGACCATATCCACTTCAGAAGCTATGATTCAGACCAAAGAGTTAATTTATGCTGGAGTTAAAGATAATGATGGTAGAATGAGAGATGATTCAGGTAAATTTCTTTATGACCTGAAAATTATGAATGCTAGAAGGCTAAATTGTGAAAACAATTATCTGAGTGTAGCTGAAGCTCAGCATATACACTTGTGATGACAGATGACATACTATGTCCTTACTTGCTTTGAACTATATATCTCTGAAATTGTCTGAAGTGACATCTTTGCTATGCTTTCGTCTGTTCATGCAGGAGTTGATGCTACTAAAATAACTTCTCAAAGTGACCAGATAATTCAAAGTTCAGAAGCAACTACTACTGAAGTTTTGGCACATTCGGATGTTCGAATTAATGTATTAGAGCAAACTGCCAGAGATACTGAAATAAGCAATGACAGGCTTAGTGGACCTTCTAGCGTTAGTTTCAAAGGACACATGGAGGATCAGTCCGAACTACATGATCCTGCTCAGACCATAACCACTTTAGGAGCTATGTTTCAGATCAAAGAGTCAATTGATGCTGGAGTTAAAGAAAATGATGTCAGACTCAGAATGATGGACGATTCTGGTAAATTTCTTTAGTGACCTGAAATTTATGAGTTGTAGAAGGCTAAATTGTGAAAACAATTATCTGAGTGCACCTTAAGCTAGCATATACAACCCTTACGAGGCCTACTATGTCATTATTTGCTTTGTACTTTTATCTATCTGAAATTGTCTGAAGTGACAGCTCTCTATGCATTTGTCTGTGTTCATGCAGGAGTTGATGCTTCTGAAATAACTTTCCAAAATGAACAGATAATTCAAGATTCAGAAACAAATGCTACTGAAGTGTTGACGCATTCTGATGTTGCGATTAATGTAGCAGAGCAAACTGCCAGAGATACTGAAATAAGCAATTACAGGCTTAGTGGACCTTCTAGTGTTAGTTACAAAGAACAGACGGAGGATCAGCCAGAACTACAGGATCCTTCCACTCAGACCATATCCACTTCGGATGCTATGAAACAGATCAAAGAGTTAATTGACGATGGAGTTAATGATAATGATGTCAGAATGAAAGATGACTCAGGTAAATTTCTTTGATAACCTGAAAATTATGAAGAGTAAAATGCTAAATTGTGAAAACAATTATCTGAGTGTAGCTTAAGCGCATATACAACACTTATGATGACCGACTATGTCCTTATTTGCTTTGAACTTTATCTGAAGTTGTTCGAAGTGACAGCATCTCTATGCTTTTGTTTTTGTTCGTGCAGGAGTTGATGCTAATAAAATAACTTCTCAAAGTGACCAAATAATTCAAGGTTCAGAAACAAGTACTACGGAAGTGTTGGCACATTCAGATGTTCGGATTAATGTAGCAGAGCAAACTGCCAGAGATACTGAAATAAGCAATGACTGGGATATACTAAAAAGCATTGTATATGGAGGTCTGAATGAATCAATTACTAGCCTGGCTGTTGTGTCATCAGCAGCTGGTGCTGACGTTTCAACATGTAAGTTTCAAGATCAATATCCTTATCTCAGTTTCAAGAGTAATTAGGTCGACCTTTTTTTTTCGGGGGGGGGGCCGTGGTGGGGGGAGCATGATTGACATCAAGTGTCATATTCTTAAATATGCTTATGGAGTAACATAGGATGCACATCATTAATTCTTTGGTACACATAGGTGGACTTAAAAATGAGTTAACTCTGGTGGGATGAGATCTTGGTGGTAAGTTCACAACTATCTATTATTGTGTTGTTCAATTAAGTAATTAGATTGGTAATTTTAGAAAATTTTATTTAGTAATACATTGCATAGTTTTGCTATGTTATGTTGCACATTCATCCCACATTGTAGTGTTAACTAAATTCATACACTGCTAAAATAATTGTTTTTACTTCCATGATAAAGAATGTAGGTCTCCTTAGTCTGGAAAGAATTAGGTAGATAAATGAAATTGCTAACCGACCATTCGTTATAATTTTCTACTCAATTTTGGAAAAACACTAGCATTATGTTGATGACACTCTTGGTTTTCTTTTCCTTACCTTTATTTTCCCGGAGGCAAAGGTTCATTATTCTCTACACTTTATTGTAATTATTACTTTCTTTTGCAGTGAAAATTGTTGCATTAGGGTTGGCAAAATTGATTGGCGGATTTCTTTTAATTACCCATGAAGTAAGTTGATTTCTTAGATGATACTTTTTTTGTCTTTGCCTCTTCTTTCAAAGATAAAAGTATTTTTCATATTTCAAGGAAACTGACCTGTTTAAGGCTTCTACTGTTCGTGAATTTATGTGATGGAAAAGATCTATCCAAGTTGTTTTTAGCCTGACAACAACAGTTAGAATGCCGATATATGAAGGAGAATTTAATCTCAGGAACTATGATCAATTGATAATCAAAAAGCCATAAAATGAGAGTTGTCCTGGTGTTCTCATGGAGTAGTTGCAAGAATCATATAAATATGTGGAGAGTTCCAAGTATGGCTATTTTTTGTTAGGCATCTTTTTTTTTCCAGCTAATGGCCAATGGCTTCAATGGCACACATTTTGCTTCAATGGCCAATGGCTTCAATGGCTTCAATGGCCAATGGCCAATGGCTTCAATGGCTTCAATGTATGTTAATATTGGAAATATAAGCCAATGGCTTCAATGGCACACATTTTGCTTCTTTGTATGGCATTATTACTTGAACAACATTGTGCTTTAGTCAAAGTCAAGTTTTCATTATGTTTCCAATATTAACATACATTTCCCTGAAATAGTATAAAACTCAGATTTTATTCTTGATAGACTCGTAATTTTCCAAAGGGATGGGTGCTAGAGGGATTTCTGACATGTTTTATCCGAGTGTTTTGCAAGTAAAGCAGATAGATTGCTCCCATCCTATTGATAAATTATGAGTGTATCTTCTATACTTGCAATTTCCCTTGTAATCTCCTAGCATGGGCTCTTTGGATCGATAAACAACATAAATTCATGTAGGACAGCAAATATAACAACTAGTAAGAGGCTATAATGTCCCAAGTATTAGTGAGGCCAATATCACCAGTCAAAGCAAGAGAAGCAAAAAGTATCATGAATAAAGTCTTTTAGGTCTTCCTCCATCAGTACTCACACCACTAATTTTAAATGATTTATTTTGTCTAGCCAGTGTGTCTTTTAAGTCTCTTTTGCACATAAGCACAAATTTTAGGTTAAAAGTTTATTGCATGAAACTTCAATGATGAACCTCTCTGTGTGGCTTTTGGATAGCAGCTAATATAGTTCAAGCAAGCATTCTCAATTCTTACTTTGGGCATTTTTTCGTCACAGCTTTTTGAGCTTAGAACTGCACAAGATGAAGCTACTGAACAGAAAGATGAACAAGGTGGACGTTACTGGGAACTGCTTGGGTGGAGAGCAAATTTCCGCCGGCACTTTCCTGTTGCTACAATATCATACATTTTATTTGGCTTAGTCCCTCCTGTTGTTTATGGTTTCTCATTTAGGAGGAGCGACGAGAAGGAATTCAAGCTCATGGCTGTTGCTGCATCATCTCTTCTATGCACAGCTTTGCTGGCCTTATGTAAGGCCCATGTTAAACCACAAAAAGGCTACGTAAAAACCATGGTCTACTACCTAGTTCTTGGTGTATCAGCATGTGGTCCTTCCTATCTGGCTGGGATGATGATCGACAAGTTACTTGAGAAGCTTGGTTTGTTTGATCATGGGACAACTCTTCAGTCACCTCCCACTCTTATGTGTCAAGACTTAAGAGAACCATCATGGACATCTTATTGATGATGGAACCCTGCTACTGATAGACGTGAAGGTATGATCATTCAGTACACCTGTTCTAGATGATAATATATGCTTTATTCTTATCCAGTTGGATTTCGGGGATGTTGTACTCAAAAATTACTCAAGACTTGGGATGATGCCGATCTGGTCGTTCAAAATCGCTGTGCACTCGCTGCTGCTGTCCAAGTGAGATTTTTTTTCTTTGTTTTAGCTTTACTATGATTTCATAGTCTTGAGTGATGATGCAATTGACAGTAACTACATAATTGGTCTTTTCTATCGCTATAATTACATATTTGGTTGGGACGAATGAATAGTGCAAACGAATCGTAGACGAGTATAATGGGCCAAAGTTTGGGTTTGCGAACGTTTGTGTGAGGGCCAACCGATCACGGACGCCGAATTCTTCGTACTGTTCCCAACATTGTCAAGGAGCTCTAAATACTATTTAGATTCCCCATCTTATTATTCTAATCCTCTTACTCTTTATAATCTTTATAAAAAATTAATAAAATATTATTATACTATTCACAATCATTGTAGTTCTATTTTTACTTTTTTTTCCTCATAATTTTTGCCTGTGGATCCTATCCTATTACTGTTGACTCTCTTCATCACTCATGCACTTATTTTGTAAAGGTTTGAAACATAACATCTTCTAGGTTAATAAAATTGGCCTAGAAGATAGTATTTACTTGACTATTTTAGAATGTACGATCTTAAAAATATTTATCATTGTAATAAATATAAAAATTATTATTTTTATTTCCTTCTTTTCGTTATTTGGTTTGTTTGATTTAATCATCTTTTTTTTTGTAATTTTATATCACTTCTGGCAAAGAAGAGGAGAAAAAATATATATATGAAGAAAAAAATGTTATAGATAAAGAATAAAAAGATTTTATTGAAAATAAGTTATAAATTAATGGTATATATATATATATATAAAGAAATAATTTAAAAATATTTAAAAGTCTTAATATGAGGTTGTAAATAATATGTTTTCAAGTATTTATCTTCCATTGCCAATTATCATATGAGGATGGATATTCGGACCGGAGCAAAATAATAAGAGAATCACCTGGGATAATATTGCAATTTGAATTATTAATTTTGAAAGCAAGATGGATTGACATGATTGTCAAGATTTTCTTAGATATATATATATGAATTTGTTGTTGATCATTTCATTGCTGCAATAAATAACAAAAAGAAACTACAATTTGAATCAAGTCAGATATCATAATTTAGAACTTAGTAGCGCTTTTATTATACTTACCTGAAGTCACAAAAAACAGGTCGATTCTTTGACCGACGGATGGAATGGCGGGAATTAAAAGGCAGCAGGCGAGCTTTCAAAATGTGAGAGAGAGAGAGAGAAAGAGAGGTGTGGGTTTGGTTTCTTTCTTGGAGTCAGAGGAGGTTGGAGAAGAGACATGGAGATGGTGACGGGGAGGTGTTGGAGGAGAGCGGTGGGCTGGTGGAAGCAAGGCGGCGCCCGAGGAGGAGCGCCAGCGCAGTGGAAACTCCCGGTGGAGCATCGCCGGAGACGGAGGAAGAAGGCAGCGGCGAGGAAGCGGAGCAGAGGAGCGTCTATTACGACGCGGACCAAGGTTTGTGTGGTTTCTTCTTGGTGGCCGTCCCATTCGTTTCTGTCGCCACCTTAAACCAAGAAACAAGAAACATTGTGAAATGACGATGATGCTCGTGTTCTTTTGTTGATTTGTACGAGGAGCATTTCCTCCCCCCCGGCGCCATTCGTGTCTTTGCTGGTGCCCTTTACGACGTCTGAGAACAGAAAGAATCCGTTTGTTTTCCCAGAAAGAATCTGGGATCGTTTACGGGAACGGGAATTAGAAGATACAAGCGATCGCGTGGTTTTCTGCTCTGTTGCCGAAGCTTTCCGTCTATCATCTTACTTCATTTCTTGGATCGGATTTCTTGTTGTGATGGGTAAAGAACACTGAATCTTGGCGGTAGGTCTGTTTCTTGCTCTCTTAGATCGACATGGAAGAATGGTTTGTGTATCGTTTTTGCTTCATCATGTCAGCAAGATGCCTAGGTTATTATCTCTTCTTGAACCCTCTGATCTTGATATTGGCGGCAGGGTTTATTGAGTTCCTTGGTCTTTTAGATCTCCATGGACGAACGAATTGTATATGGGTTTCGCTTCCTCGCGTCAACCAGATGCCTTTTTGCTTCTCTCTTCTTGAACCCTTTGTTCTTGATGCTGTGGCGTCGGATTCAGGTTGACGCGTCAGAGTTTGGTCGGCCTTTCATTTCATTGTTAGGAATTCAGTTCTTAGATCGCGAATCTCTTCGGAATGGTTCTGTGCTTAGCGTCTGGGGGAAGGGCGAGTTGGTCCACTTGGATCCCTCGTGAGCTTTACTTGTTTGTTTCCTCATCTGATGAGTTCCTACAAGAGGACGAATGCAATTCTTTCATAATGAGGTTTGGTTTGACTTTGTCTTCATGGTCTTTACATTTATTGTGTGATAATTTGTTCTCAGCCCTTGATGTGATAATTAGGTTACTTTCTTGTGCATGCGACAGGACTAATAGGAAGTTGCTTTTCTTAGATTCACAGTGATGCAATAATCTCCTATCGACAGATGAAATTGGTGAAATGAAGCCCAAAAAGGACGATCAGATTGCTACTTGTCAAGAAGCTGCAAATGGAAGATCAGAATTTAAACCTCAATTGACAAAACATGGCAGTGAAATTACTGAAAGTGAAGACAAAAGAGCAGTACATGAACAGAGTATGGTACCAAAAAAGAGTCTATTGAAGGTGATAGAGTTTGATCTTGAGAGGATATTAGAGGAACAGGATACACATGATTTGTGCTGTCCTAATTGTAACTCATGCATCACAAAAAGAGTGATTTTACAAAAAAGGAAATGGTCAGTTAGAGAAATTCAGCATGATATGCCATCAAAGAAAGTGAATGAAGAACAACAATATGATGCTGATGAAATGACAAATCTTGCTGATGCACCAGAACCAGATGTATTCAGATGTTTATCATGTTTCAGCTTTTTCATTCCAACAGGTATGTTAATTTGGCCTCTGTATTTATGTAGTAAAGCATATAAAAAACAGATGTTTCTAGAATAGGTAGCCCATGGTGGCCATTCTTCTTTGTGGCAACGATAGTTTACCTCTCCTATCATATATAGATATTCTAGGATGTTCTTACATATATGTTTCAGGTACAATCCCCATGTTGTGGCTCATATTAAGCCAGTTTTCCACTGGCAAGGGGCACGATGCAGCAAGAAAAATCATGATTTTAAGTACTATGTGTGGGTTTAACTAATTAACTTTGACCTTGAATCGACAGAGAATAGATATAATGGTTGCTCTCTTCATATTTTGAACAGAGGGTGGTTTTAACATATTCCGGATATTTGAGAAAGGAAAGGAATCTCATGTGAAAAGGAAAGAAATTCAATTGGATTTCGTCTATTTTTAAAGTGGATAAAAGCAAAACGAAAGAAAGTGAACCAGGTATGTTTCTATTGCATCTTTTTATGATTTTAATTCATATGGATAAGTTCTGTTATCCTGATAACTTAGATCCACTATGCTAAGAAATTGACTTGTTGCACTGGTAAGACAAGTGACTGGTAATCAGTGTAAACCACACTAAATAAATGAATTACTAGCCTAAAAAATGATCAAGATCTTGTGATGACTTGCTTGGTTTCCTAATACTACATAGATTTACTTTCTGTGTCATGCATTAGATGGAAATTGAGATATGCCATTTAATTTGGTCATGTACTTAAATGGACAAGCTTCTATTCTGGCTACATATTGGTGATGAATTTTTGGGTTTGGTTTAGGTCTGATTAGTTCTGAATATGGATATGGTATGCCTAATTACCTTCAACTACTTCCGATGGTCCGAAGATTTATTTATTTTTCTCGTGAGTTCTATTTTCGTAATTCTCTTTTGGCCAATTGATCTGACTTTGTGGATAGCTTTCATAATTTTGTCTCTTTAAAAGTGATATTCTTTTCTTGTATTAGTTGGTTACTGTTCTTTAGTCATAATTGTTATGAACCTAGGATTTGATGTTTTTTCATCATATGTTTTCTTTTAGTGTAAATTTGTTGATAAAGAAACACATTTAGGGATGTTGATATTGCTCATCATACCCACCTCATTGATGAAAGCTGGAGTGCATCTTATACCATCTTAAAATTGTTAGGAACTTGAAAGCCAAGTGACTATTATACCTTCACTAGAAGAGTTTTTGACTTGATACAAAAGAAAAGAAACAATCACCTCCCATAAGTCTGCATGGTTCTCAGAAGAATGATGACAGGCTTTCTATAGTGCTCTTCGAAAGTGAACTAAGAAATTAACATTAGAATATAACTAGGTTGCTCTATAGTTGTTACTATTGGTTTTATATGAAGCTTTATTTGGGGTTTAGAAAACATCAATTTATATAGCTTTAGTAGGAAGTGTCCAACGAGTATCATAGAAGGAAAACAAATCATTGCTTTGTATATACAGGAAGCCCGTCAATCATAGAAGGAAAACTTGGTACAGGTGCAACTCTCCCAGAATATAATCATTCAGGCCTTGTATATTACAAATTCGTGCTACTTTACATACGAATATATGGAAATATATAGAACAAGTCCAATGATGCTTTACACAGGAGATGTTCAAATATTGTTTGTAATCTTCAATATCTTACTGATTTTGATTACTTATTTGATATAGTTATTTTGAATGGGGATTCATATTTTGTTGGTGGACAAGAAATGGCTAATGATTTCCAGATAAATGAGCAGAACATTGGTACAATGGTACCAGGAAGAAAGCTTGACAGTAATGAAATTGCCACTGCAGTAATTGATGCAGTCCAAAAAGGCTTATGATGTCAAACAATAGGCTTAGATTATTAACTGCAACCATAAATTCTTGTCGTCAGTCATAGAGAAGCTGAGCCTTCACTGAATAATATGGTAGAATCTTATAAAATATGAATATTTGTGTTTTACAAATAATTCAATCTGTTAAGGGCAATCTTGCATCTTTTTTTATTGTGATTCAGAAGGTATTCATATCTGTTGATGACATTGTTAAAAAACCTTATTATCTTGACATCTTTAACTTGCCATGCATTTCCTATTGGTTGGTTGTGTCAACAGCAGCTGGTGCTGACGCTTCAACATGTAAGTTTCAAGATCAATATCCTTATCTCAATTCAAAAGTAATCAGGTCAACTTTTTTTTTTTGGGGGGGGGGGGGAGCATGATTGACATAAAATATCATGTTAGTGTGATCTTCTTAAATATGCTTGTGGAGTAACACATGATGCTGCATCATTAATTCTTCGGGCATTTTGCTGTTGCAACAGGTTGGGACCATCCGAGTCCAGCTGCTTTCTGCTTTGCGGAGTTGAGAGCAGCCAACAGATAACTGCGACTACTTCCTCCATGCTGACGATCACTTCCAATGCTACAACTGAAAGAGTCCTGTGTACTTGAGTAACTATTACAGAGGAATAGGAGATGCGTTAAGTAAACTCAAAAATTGTATTGTAACATCTTCCAAGTTATGTTTTTTTTTTTTTATTTATATTGTAAATACATCGTAATACAAATCTATCTGCGAGGGATGTGATTGATAGCAGCAATAAACACTAAGTTCCAAGGCATTCATAATATCTATAAATAAAAAAAGTTGCCCATCATTAACCCAATATAAACATCTGCTTAAACGCTTCAAGGCACAAGGCCCACAAATACACCGGATTAATGTAGTAAGTTGGGGGTTAAGTCTCATGGTATCTCTGTATCAGGCAGGATACTGTCTAACTGTTACAGATTGAACCAGTCATGAATTAGATTATCTGCATGTATTTGTAGTATGACATGCCCTAATAAATTCACCTGAAAACTCTTATATAAGTCATCACTAGGTATGCCATCACTAATAAATTCAACTGCAAAATTATTGTCATGGACAATGAGCTCATTGGTTGTTGGTTAAGAAATTAGGTTATACTGAAAACAAGATAGCTCGGTGCCAAAAGAGTACCGTGGACAACAAAATAAGACTATGTCATGTCAACTTAGACTCCACAACTGAATCTAAGACAGTTATTAAACAATGATGATCAATCCTTGTTAAGCAACTTTAGAAAGGGAACTAGTCATGAAACCTAACACAACTTTAGAAAGGAAATTAATCATGAAACCTAATATTTCCTGAATAGAAATATCTTCTGTTTCTAGGTAAAGCAACAAGAGATGAATTTTAATAGACTAGCAAGTACTACTTCAGAAAGAAATAGTGACCTAGGCATGGCAATCATCAGCATCAAATGATTCGTGTTTCTCGTAGTTGCTGATGCAATCCTCATCCAAGAAATTTGTTTAGTTTGGTGGTGGGTGAGTAGGTGATGGTTGTGATGGGGAATGAAAAAGGCGAGGGCCTAATATCCTAAGTTGGCTGAATAAAAATCCTTCATGAATGTTAGATCACTCTAAATCAATAGCATGTAATATAAGAAAGTTATATTCAATACCCAAAAGGTTAGTGGTTGAGATTTCTCAATATCCAAAATATAACAAAGTTAATGTAGATAAATATTCATCTCTGAGAACGTGAAAAACAGAATAAATTCTATAAGATGACAAATAAATGGTTATTTAATTTGTTACAGATAACAACAAAAATGAATAAGCCTGTAGGAAGACTTGTCCTACTTTAAAGCAGGAAGGTTAGACCTTAAATAAAGCATGTAATGATTCCTTGTCCAGAGTCATTACAGTAAAAACAATCTTATAATATGGTTTGCCTGCTTATAGATGGACTCCTCCCTACAAGTAATCAACTACTCATTACAAACAAATTGAATACAAAATGCAACATTTGGCCGATTGGGGATAAAAAATTTGAATATGAGCAAACAAGTGGTTCTGCCACCTTGCTGCTTTTTCAAAAGTAACATCACATGACTGACAAGCCATGAAGTTAACAAAGACAGATTTTGCCACTTGGTTATCTATCCTGTTCTGCAGAATAGGTTCTATCTTTGTCTCCTCTAGAAGAGCTTTAAGTAGTACAACTGTGTACATTTTTCAGTCCCCAAAACTTTTCAACTAAAGGTGAAAGAAATAAATGACATATAAAAAACAATACAGCATATGAGGAAGAGAAAGAAAGAAGAAGACGAGGACGACACTTACTATGCCAAAAAACCATCATTAAATATACTGTTCCATTCCAATGATGGAAGGTCTTCCTCCATAAATTTCCTTTCTCTAAAAAAAAAACACTAACAAATTATTGTCTTCCACAACATAGATCTCCAAAGAGTAACTTCTAAGCAATCCCACGAGGGACAAACCTGAAATCATTTTGGGCTAGGATGTTATGACTTTGTTGCTCGTAGAAAGTGTTCTAGGAAGTAACACAGATCAAAGAATGATGAATTCAGTGCAAGATAAGTAGCTGCACCACACACCAAACCTTGGAGAAAAAATATAATGCAATAGATGAACAATGAAAACGAAAAGATTCAACTGCCAAACATCCTCGCCATGCAAGCTAAAGCTTGCGATAATGTTATGGTAATCGTTCTGTCTAAGCACATCATGACAACTCCTTTTTGAACATTTAGGTGTAGGAATCAAGAAAACCTAATCAAGAAAGGAATAACCCGGCTCAATTCCCCGTCCTTCAACAACATTGTTTTCTAGGAAATCCAATTTGCTAATGCCAGAAAATTTCAGATTATGGTTGGAGGAAGTAGTGGCGGAGACGAAGACACACATACCTTGAGGCCGAGGAGGTAGGGCATGGAGGTTTGGGCGTGCTGTTCGACAAAGAAAAGCCCCACGGAGGGCTCGTTGGCCAACAACTTGATCATCTCATCCACCCCTTCCTTCACTGCTTCCCAACGACAAGAAGATGGCATCAATCGATTGATCGGTCGGTCAATAAAACCCAAGAAGTTGGAACAGATCACGACATAACTGAATCGAGAGGGAGAGCAAGCAAGAAAAGGGGAAAGGAAGGAGAAAGAGATCATCCCAGGGATTAGGGGTCGAATTAAATCGATACCGTTCAAGAAGAAGCCATCGAGCCTGGCGAATCCATGAAGCATCTCGCCGCTGCCGGAAGAATCGATCAATAAAATAAAAGAAACATTCAAGAAGTAGGAACGGACGAACGAAATAGCCGAATCGCCGGTGGGAGAGGGACAGAGAGAAGGGCAAAGGGGGGGCATGGAGGAGACTGGGGGTAGATTAAATTAATACCGATCAAGAAGAAGCCGTCGACGGTGAAGGATTGTTGATGCATCTTGCCGTCACCGGGAGAGAACAGGCGCTCAAACCTAAGAGAGAGAGAGAGAGAGAGAGGAAAGAAAAGCCACAACCAAAGAAAGGGCGAGCAAAGAACCGTTCGCCGATGCCGAACCCTTATTATCGGCCGCAAAGGCACAAAAACAAGAGGGGCGGAGTTCGTGGTGGTAAATTAAAGAAATAGGTAATAATAAGTCAATGGGAGCGGACGAACAGCGGGGTCCACCGCTATCAACAAATCGAAACGGAAGAAATCATTTGATTGGGAATTTTATAGGCTGGGGATGTAGTTGACCCGCTCGCTATTGAGCCATCAAAACAACAAGTTATGATTAAATTTGCACGATGTTTAATGCTATAGTTGCCCTGACGTCACGGTTCCCAAGGAAACTAAAAAAAAAAATAATGGAATTTAGGTACACAGTAGTTACAATAAAGCTCAAGGAGATGTTACTTTATGTGATGCATGTCCCCCCCCCCCCTATTCATATTTATTTTGTAAACCAATATACAAAGAGTAGAAGTGAGTTCCTTCGAGGATCACCAGAAATATATATACTTGCTATTTCAATCAACATCAAATTCCAGTCACCAATAAATGCTTCTTTTTTTTTATATAATCAGGAACTCATGATAGTTGCAACTAATTCTAGTAGTGTCCGATGTGTTTTACCATAGGATTAAAAAACAACAAGGAAAAGAAGATCATTTCCAAAGGTGATTTGGTATGGCTAAATGACAAATTTGCTTTCCTGAACCAGAATGAGAAGCAATATTACAACTATCTATGCCTTCCTTTTGTGGGGCTCAGGTATTAAAAAAAAAACAAAACAAAACAAATGGCAAGTTTCAAGGCTATTTATTCTGCTTTTGGAAGACCGACCATGCATATCCAGTATCATGTATACACACCATCTTCTTGGTTGATTTAAAAAAAAACAATATTAAAGAATGGTCTGATGAGATTCAACAGAATTATCCCTCTCATAGTTCCACTGGTAGTACGTGATATTTGGCTTTGATGAGTTATGATGAACTATGCTGCCAGCCTATGTAGAATTACATTAATTACATAAACCGAACATGAAAATCATGGATGTGTCATTCCTTTTTTAAGTTCAGACGCAGGAATTTGATGAGATCTGTCTCAACTCTACCCAACTGGGACAGAAATGGGTGAGCCAAACTTTGATGAGTTTATGCAATGATGCTGGACCCAAGGGATCAATTCATTAAGGTCCAACTTGCATTTTTCCATAAAGTAAAACAAATGAAAACACGCCTATATGACAAAAGAAAACTAGTCTCAATAATTATAGAAAAGGAACTTGCAAATTAATAGCTTTTGTACCTGATTTCTTATAGTTCAACTAATATGCTGTCAATAATCTTGAGCTGCTCCATCTCCACTCCATGGGCAATCCCAGGATCAACATAACATAACTTTCATAATGTATGTCAGGAGATTGTATGTAAATAGGCTAAAAGTCAAGTAGAAAGATTATGAGAATTGAGATAACCTGATATTGGGGCTTTTTCAGTGTGTGGGTTCCTCTTTTGATCAGCTTCTGCCAGCCATTATTATCGGCAAGAGACCTTTCCAAGGCAGCTGTTCTCTGAAAGAACCAATATGATATTATGAATTAGAGACGCAACAATAGCAGGAACAAATTAAAAAACTCAATGTCAAACAGGAGCTTAAGAAGAATTTTTTTATAAATTATCACATATGCAATTATATCAACATAATTGTCAATGAACAAACTGAATGTCATCTGAATACCATGTTATCTTTGATTTATATAACAAGATCCATCTTATTTAAAAAAAAACTATATTATTGCTGTCGACCATCAACTGTCAACAGTTCATTGGGGCTAGACAGAAGTTAGGTTAATACTTTAAGTGACCCATTTAACAACATGTCAAAATTCTTTACCAAATTCAGTCCATCCGTTATACAGTTGATGATTCCATCAGCAATATCCATACATTAAACAGGTCTAATTAGATGAGGATCAAGGATGCCACTGTTAACTATTCTCGACAAGCCATATGCCCAACTAGTTGGTGTAGGCTACATCAGCGCTGGATGCATTAATTACTAACCATTAATAGCACAATTTGACACATGTACGTGAGTCTTGCATGATAAGGCCAACAGGTCAACCTGAAAATCATGTGTTTCATGCATCAACTCAATTAGGTAAAGTTCCTAAACCTGATTGAGGACTGTTAACACAGTATGTGAAATGATCTACAGAATTAATGAACCGGATCCATTTAGCACCAACTCAAATCCCAGTCAACTTCGTGAATGTCCATCATGACAAAAAAGAAAAATTCAACTTACATGAGCAGGGTCTAAAACCAATAACGAGTAATGATGATCTGATGCACATTTTCCCTTTTGCATTTGAATCCCTACAATGGTTCGTGAATGTCCATCATGCTGGAGGTACAAGGGCCTGCTTGTGGGCGAAAAATGATATATCATCGCATTGTCAAAACAAGCTCTAAATAACAGGAAATATGACAGAATAGAATAGTAGTGTATGAGCATATTGCCATTTTAATAGAGGTTAGATCATACATGTGTCTAGAGAACTAACGTTTTCTCACTGATGAGAACAGACTTGGAAGCGTCCAGTCTGCTATCGAATTCACAGGCAAAGTATTTCCATACCCAATCAACAAGGACTTGCGGACCATAGATTTTTCCTTGGTTTTTGCCTTGATGATGACAGTCTTTTTCTGGTAAGTGTTTATCACAGGCTGATGGACCTACTTGAGAATCTTCATTCATTGTGCGCTGCAGAAACTTATCCATTGGCCCATGACTCTGTTTTCCAGCCAATTTGCATCCAGGATTCCTATGGTTTAGTGGCTGTTTAGAAGTCATACTGTCAAAATCTACAATTCTTGCTCGAAGCCCAAAGGAACGGAGGATTGTAGCACATTCAGTAGTTCCAATCCATTTCTTGGAGCCATAAATCTTTTGACCAAAAGAATCAAATCCATAAGTATCAAAACCTCTTTTCCAGGCAACTTCCAGCCACCTCTGAAGTGATAAAATATCAGGGACAAATCCTGACCCACCAAACATAGCATCTCTTGCATCTGGCCTTTGGCCCAACAAATGAGAACTCAACATTTGAATGTTTCGCCATCCACATCCCCAACCAATATCTTCTGATTCATTACTCTGGTAGTGATCGACATGACCAGAAACAATAGTTATTGCGTTGCCATTTTCTAACTCCAAGCATCGCCTAATCAAGGCCATGAGACCACCTTGGACATTATAAAAGGGGCTTTTAATTTGTGAACCAATCAGCAAAGACGTTTCTTGATCATCAACTTTCCTAGAATTAGGAAGATTATGATTGAAGTCTGAATCATGCTGTCCTGGAGATCTTTCTGAACGGGCAGCATACTGGTCTCTATCGTTTGTTGTTTCATCCTGCAAATGCACCATAATGCACACCAGCACACCATATGTTTATTCTTAGGCAAATGCAAGGAATCTATAAAGCATCCAGCTAGAATTTATTTTTGTACAGTTAGCCATCAAGTGTGCAGACCCAGAAATGGGCAGGAACCTTACTTAAGCAAAACAGAATATAAATAAGATTTAGTTAAAATAAAAATGACTGTCAAAATCAACACTGAACTGTGATAATAACTAAGCCATACAGTAAGGGGGACATTCTCATGTTAATTTGGAATTTATAGAGATGCTATGAGGGGGACAAAATTAGAAAATTTTTTAAATGTGCGAATTAAGATGTTGCCAATCATTTAGTAACATGCAACAATTTATAAAGAACTGTAAACCCATATACACATAGAATTATAGTAGTTTCGTCCTTGGCATGTCAAAATTCTTATCCAAGTCATAAATTTTACGTTTCAGTTGATGGTAATGGTATGATGGGTTTGCTTGGCACTTAAATACAAATGGGAACGAGCACCACATCATAGGAATTGGAGAGAGAAGTCAGAAAGAATGGTTGTAATTTGTGCGTCGATCAGGTTAGCTGAAAATGAACAAGAACATAACCGATGTATATATATCTTTAAACACAGAAATACTCATTTATCTAGTAAGGAAAAAGAGAGATTCTTGTCAAACATATGAATAATGTTGCGCAAAAGATATTTATGCCTAGAAATGCCACATGAAATAATAGAGCCATTACTACCATTAATTCAGGACTTGGGGGTGCTAGTGCAATTTGCATAGCCAATTCCATGTCGCTTTCAAGTTCATCCTCCACAAAATGATTGTTCGCATGCCTATAAAAGCATGTTATGTAGCAAATGAACATACCCACTGAGTGCATCTACAAGAAAATATTAGATGAGAATTAACTGGGGTTTTGGATCGTTACCTCTCCAACTCTGCTGAAGGAACGCTTATATGACAAAAAGGGCAGGATGGGAGCATTTTTTTATGAGATCCTGGATCATAAAAAACTATATAACTAAATCAAAACAATGCTTTTAAATACAATAAATGTAATCCATGAAAGAAACTCGGTATTCATCAAATGTTGCGGTGACTCAGGAAACAATGTTTTTTAACATGCAACTTCATAATATATTTCATCACTACAACAATCATTAAGAGTCATTGCCGCATGATCTCATACATAGTAATGAGTCGATGACTAGGTTCCATCTGGGAAGGAATCATGAAACCAATACAAAACTGTCAACCAAAAAATCTTTTGGTTTTAATATAATCAGTTTCTTTAAAAAGAGAGAATACATTATTTCGTATAGTTGCAAACTGAACAAAGAACAATCGGATGTTATATCACTCAGGACACTTTGCCTCCATATCTAGGGTTCGTTCTAAATAGCCGATCTCTGACTTGGATTTCAAGGCTGACTACAGGCCACGAAGCAGTACTTCAAGATTTACGAGGAAGCATCCAGCATCAACAAATAGGAACACTAACTAAAGGTCAACAGAAGCCATGACAAGTGATTGGTCTCAATTTCCATTGAACCAACGCCTAAAGAATGTTCAAGCGAACGAGCGCATAACAAAATCTCGGCCAACCAGACGCCAGGAGAATATCCAAAGCTTGACAAATTAGGATACAAGGGCTCAAGATTGCCCGATCAAAGAGATCTTTAATCTCGGTAAGCTAAACCGAAGCATGGGAATCGCCTGTGCCTCGAAACATGGAAAGAACAGCAAAAAAGAAACGAGCTTTTCGGTTCAACAAGGGTGAAAGATTTCGAAGCAAAACAAGAAAAGAAATCAAAACCCTGCGACAAATAAAGAACGCCATGGGAACGATTACAGAAGAAGTAAAGATCAATCAAGATTAGAGGTATCTGATGGAAGACAACCACGAAGCGATTAGGGAGAGAACGATTTCTTCCTTCTTTCCTGATGCAAAAGTTGAAGAATTTGTGCGGAGTTTGGTTGACGCTCTCCGGACTTCCGTCGGCCATGGCGATTCTTGAAGCATCGATTTGGACTTTGTATATGGCACACGCGTCGGGCTGCGGGCCGCATCCGTAAGAGCTTGACATTAAGTCCCAATTTGGGCCCATCAGGAAATGAAGCCTTGAAAATTACATATATTAATATTTTATGCTTCCAAATTAAATATAAATTTAGCATTTATTCTTACCAAAATTAACTGAAACCATAAATGATGTTAATATCCTTTAAAAACTCATTATGATTATAAAATATAAAGAGTATTTTAAGTATTTAAATATATTCTTTAAAAATAAAAATAAAAAATAAAACTACTTGTACGCCATGGTTGAAATAAATTTTCTTTCTGAATGGCTGATAAGAGATACATACATACATACAAAGAATTATAATATTTGAAGGGACACATGAATCAGGAAATCAGGACACCGACACCTGTCCGGATTAGAATCGGAAAAATGGTGATCAGGTGGTCTATCAGTGTTTCTGCTTAATGCTAAGACTCCTCGTTTTTGTCTCAAGAGGTAGTAGTAAGTAGTAGTAGTAGCAGCAGCAGTATGGCCTGCTGGCTGGCATTAATTATCATCAATATGGAGGGGCCATCTGTCGTCCTTTTGCCACACTGGAATGATAGCAATCCACGGCAATTGGAAATGCCCATAATTATTATTACGTTTCCTCCACACCGTTCTACAGTCTCTAAGAGACCCCACGCCATGAGACTAGCAAGCCAATACCACAGACATAATATGCTGGATTTGATGTCATGTCACACGAAGTGGTGTGTTATAATTTTTTTAAAAGTAATTATATAATTGAAGTAACGAAGAGATATTTTATCGGATACTCTCTCGACATAATACAAATTAAAAGTCAGTCACCTTCGAGGAGATCAACAAAATAGTTTCGACATACCGTATTTGAGAAACGAGTCGTCAGATGACCGAAATGCATATTTTAATAATATTAATTTAATTAAATCAGTACGATAAATCTTTTCCGATCTCACATCTATCTTCCTCTTAGATCAGTGAACTTAAGACATCAGCTCAAGCAGTTTTTCTCCACGGCATAAGATGGTCCAGTGAACTAATGCTCACCACCCCAAGCGAGTGCAATTGTATCTTATAGGGTAATCAATAGCAGAAGCATACTAAACCTGTGGGAGAGCTCAATACGAACACCACCATTTGTTTAGCCAATCAACGACACGATTGTGTGCTTTGTATTTATTGTTGCTGATCCAGTGGTTGGTTGCTTGGTTTCCCAACTTCATACGGCAACACTTGCCTTCTCGATTGTTTCTTGTCAGAGTCACGCTGTGGAGCGCCCTAATGACTGACCCATGCCTCTCATTTATTTGTATGTTCATCGTGCATCTCTGTTTTATTTATATGTATAATATATATATATATATATATATATATATATAT